TGTTTGTTCTACAGAACTAGGACAAAAAATTTCACCATTTGTATGGAAACACAAAAGACCCCGAATAGCCAAAACAATCTTGAGAAAGAAAAATGGAGCTGGAAGAATCAGGCCCCTGGACTTCAGACTATACTACAAAGCTACAGTAATTAAGACAGCATGGTACTGGCACAAAAGTAGATATATAGATCAATGGAACAGGATAGAAAACCCAGAGATAAACCCACACACATATGGTCAACCTTATCTTTGACAATGGAGGCGAGAATGTACAATGGAGAAAAGACAGCCTCTTCAGTGAGTGGTGCTGGGAAAACTGCACAGCTACATGTAAAAGAATGAAATTAGAACACTCCCTAACACCATACACAACAATAAACTCAAAATGGATTAAAGACCTAACTGTAAGGCCAAACACTATAAAACTCTTAGAGGAAAACATAGGCAGAACACTCCATGACATAAATTACAGCGAGATCCTTTTTGACCCACCTCCTAGAGAAATGGACATAAAAACAAAAATAAACAAATGGGACCTAATGAAACTTAAAAGCTTTTGCACAGCAAAAGAAACCATAAACAAGATGAAAAGACAACCCTCAGAATGGGAGAAAGTATTTGCAAATGAAACAACTGACAAAGGATTAATCTCCAAAATATACAAGCAGCTCATGCAGCTCAATATCAAAAAACAACCACCCTATCCAAAAATGGGCAGAAGACCTAAATAGACATTTCTCCAAAGAAGATATACAGATTGCCAACAAACACATGAAAGGATGCTCAACATCCCTAATCATTAGAGATATGCAAATCAAAACTACAATGAGGTATCACCTCACACCTGTCAGAATGGCCATCATCAAAAAATCTACAAACAATAAATGCTGGAGAGGGTGTGGAGAGATGGAACCCTCTTGCACTGTTTGTGGGAATGTAAATTGATACAGCCACTGTGGAGAATAGTATGGAGGTTCCTCAGAAAACTAAAAATAGAAGTACCATACGATCCAGCAATTCCACTACTGGGCATATACCCTGAGAAAACCATAATTCAAAAAGAGTCATGTACCAAAATGTTCATTGCAGCTCTATTTACAATAGCCAGGACATGGAAGTCACCTAAGTGTCCATCGACAGGTGAATGGATAAAGAAGATGTGGCACATATATACAATGGAATTTTACTCAGCCATAAAAAGAAACGAAACTGAGCTATTTGTAGTGAGGTGGATGGACCAGAGACTGTCATTCAGAGTGAAGTAAGTCAGAAAGAGAAAAACAAATACTGTATGCTAACACATATATATGGAATCTTCAAAAAACAAAAAATGGTTCTGAAGTAGCTAGGGGCAGGAGAGGAATAAAGACGCAGACATAGAGAATGGACTTGAGGACACAGGGAGGGGGAAGGGTAAGCTGGGATGAAGTGAGAGAGTGGCATGGACATATATACACTACCAAATGTAAAATACATAGCTAGTGGGAAGCAGCTGCATAGCACAGGGAGATCAGCTTGGTGTTTTGTGTCCACCTAGAGGGGTGGGATAGGGAGGGTGGGAGGGAGATGCAAGAAGGAGGAGATGTGAGGATGTATGTGTATGTATAGCTGATTCACTTTGTTATACAGCAGAAACTAACACACCATTGTAAGGCAATTATACTCCAATAAAGATGTTAAAAAAAAAGTAACAAGGGCTGCTAATTTCATAAGCTAGAGCTGTCCCCTTTGTCCTTTCCTTCAGACCTCTTCAGTCCTATTTCTTCAACAATCTTAGTCTGTAACTTACATCACCCTCACCTTCACTTCCATATGCACTTCCACATTCCATTAGGACCCTAATGGAACCCTTTGGGGTTCAAGAAAGGAAAAAAATCTGACTCAGACTGATTTACAGAATAAGGAGGCTGATGTGGTTCACATAATTGCCATGTGTGGAGAATCATTGTCTCAGAAGAACCAGCTCCAGTGCTCTGATTCCCTGAGTTCTTTCTTCCGTATGTTGGCTATTTCATGACCACAAAATGGCCACGGAGATTCCAGGAAGCTCATCGTCATTTGACATCATCCAGAGTGAAACAAAGAGCCTTTGTCCCAGCATTCTAAGCAGGTTAAGCCACCTGGACACCACTGAACCAATCATAGTTCCAGGGAATTGATCTATTTTGATTGGCTTAACTTAAGTACATGCTCCACTCCTAAGAAACCACGTGGATTTTGAAGAGAATGTCGACCTGATGCACAGGACTCTGGGTCATTAGCTGGCTTCTAGTCAGTCTTGTCAATGAGCCCTGGCCCCAGGATAATCAGGGAGGCAGCAAAGAATAACTGAGGTTCAAAAACCACTGAAAGCTTAGATAATGTCATTGTCAACTGTGATCATTAGAGACTGGAAATCAAAGGTCCCTCCTCCATTTTCTTAACATCATGTAAACCTCCCTGATTCTGGTGTGAACCTGAAAAAGGACAGCCCAGTAATGACTGAGATGGAATTTCCTATAGCTTGGTGGTATGTGGGCTGGGAGTTACATATTTTTTTTGTAGCACTGAGTCAGTGAATAGAGGCAGTCATGTCATTGTATAGTCTGCAACAAAATTTAGTCCATATATGAACAGCTGACTAAAAATTTAAGGGAAGAACAACCTAAAAAACAATTTTCATGAGCACAGAATGATAGATGTTAATCAATATAATACCTATTTTTACCAATTTAAAATGAATGTCATTGAAAATATTTGTTTCTATTTTACTTTAACAAATGTAAGAAATATTAATAAAATCTTTCTTAAAACTATTTCTCCATAACCTCATTTTCCCATATAATCTTAAAGTTTTTCAACTGGAAGTACAAATAGTTCCAAGGGTTTCAGAAACTGAACTCTGGGGTTAGGACAAAGGGTGAAATTGTACCATTTTTAGTTCATTCCGTTAAAGAACTTTATTCACTTAACAAACAGTTCCGATTACCAGTGAGAACACCCTTAATAATAGTCCTTTTAGGAGTCAGAACAAGATTTGCAGAGCAAGAATCTCTGCTTATTCCAGACCCTGATTTGGCTTGGCAATTCTTTCATCCAAGGGGAACTGGATGAGTTTTGAAAAGCATTAGGTCTTTCTGTCCCATAGTCTTTTTTTCTTTTTTCAAAAAATAAATTTATTTAACTTTGGCTGCGTTGGGTCTTTGCTGCTGCGCGCGGGCTTTCTCCAGTTGTCTCGAGTGGGGGCTACTCTTTGTTGCAGTGCGTGGGCTCTAGGCCACTGGCTCAGCAGTTGTGGCTCGCGGGCTCTAGAGCGCAGGCTCAGCAGTGTGGCACACGGGCTCAGTTGCTCCGCGGCATGTGGGATCTTCCCGGACCAGGACTTGAACCCATGTCCGCTGCATTGGCAGGTGGATTCTTAACCACTGCGCCACCAAGGAAGTCCCTGTCCCATACTCTTTTTGAACATAGGGTGTCACATGCTCCTTTCTTGGGTGAACTGCCAGAGAAGCACAGAAGGCGTTGCCCCAAAGATTCAAAACAGATTTCCTTAGCATCAGCGAGTGTCACTTCCATGAATGGGTGAGTGGTATGACAGAGGATTTTTTTTTGTTATTTTTATATATATATATATATATATACATATATATATATGTATATATATATATATATATATAAACATCTTTAATGGAGTATAATTGCTTTACAATGGTGTGTTAGTTTCTGCTTTATAACAAAGTGAATCAGCTATACATATATCCCTGGATCTCCTCCCTCTTGTGTCTCCCTCCCACCTTCCCTGTCCCACCCCTGTTATATATATTTTTAAAACACTAATAAAGCTTAACAGAGCTGGCACTTATCATGCACACGCTTCTAAGGTTGCCGGTACGCCGCTCTGTGGCATTCCTACAGAGGCACTTTTTAGTCCATTATCTCAATTCTTTGATTTGATCCATTTAACTACCAAAAGAAAACAGGGTTTCCAAGTTAATCTATTTGTTAGTAAGTGTCAGTAGTCTTAGAAGCAAGATCAGAAATTTTACAATAATTTTGAAAAGGATTCTTTTAGAAGGATGTTTACAAGTTCAATCACATTTCCAAGAAGGATTGATGAAATGCTGAGAACTGAAGTTAATATTTTTCATATCATGGGCAAGTCCAGTCATTGCAGAACAAGATTTCTTGATTGTATTTGATTTTGAAATTAACTGAACACACATTTCCTAGATAATGAAATTTGTATTTTTATTTAAAAGTTTGCACTGAACAATGACATGCAGACTTCCCTAGCCCATTTCTGTATTGGCTTGCTTTTTGAACACCTAATTACAACATTATTTGAGGAATCATAACCTATTTTTTAAATGTGTAAAAACCCACTGGTGCTTCATAAAGAGCTTAAGAAAATTATAGGCAGAAGAAAAGTAGATTATAAGCCATTAATGTGTTTAATGATATGCAAATGGTGTTAAACTAGAAGATGATTGTATTACTGTTCTTTGGGGAAGAACAGATTTAAACAATTCAAAATAACAGACGTAGTTTTTAGTGCTGAGATCTAACAGTAATAAATTAGAAATGAAAGTCATACGTGTATTGAATTACATCTTGACTTTCATAGATTATAATTTCATCACAGTAGACAAAATTGCAAACCGCTTACAGCTCATATGTTTTATGTTTCTCTTCATGTGAAAGGTGGCCAGTACTTTCTTCTGTGGGTAAGTTAGCTGAATTAGAACAAGTCATCAGTGTTATACCCACGATCCTGCAGAAATGATATGATTTAGCCTACGTTCTCTCACATGTAGACTGACCAATTTAACCAACTGGAAAAAAAAAAAATTAGAATGACATAGGGAGTTTAAACCAAGTGAAATTATCTGATGGTTACTGAGCTTTCTAGAAAGCAGAGAAATAAATAATGCAAACTGAATTTCAGCAGTTGCCCCTATTCATTTCCAATTCATAGGGAATCTTTCTTGTTTCTTGGATGGAAAAATGTCATTCTAAGCTCCTCTTTGCTTCTGGGGGGTGGCAGCTAGCCGTGAATTACAGGGTCCTGAATAGAACACGATCAACACCTAGTGGCCACAGACAAGTCTTGAGTGTGATTTTTCTTGGCCAGCAACAAGTGATGTCGTAAGAAAAGGATCTTTGGAAAAGAAGAGGAATCTTATCTCCCACATCACTTTTCCCTCACCCAGGTTTGACCCGATGCTGCCATTGCCACCTTATTCCTGCAAACAAGGGGCATTCAACTAATGCAACTAACAAATGCTACCATCACACTGTCGTGATGGGTAAGCTGTATGAAATGTGAAAGAATAAAAGAAATAATAGGGGTCAAAAATTTTTTTTTTAACTTGAATTGAATCAAGTGTTTATACCATGAACGAAGAATAAAACAGGACATCCCTGCTTTCGTTTAAATTAACCTGATGTTATATTCCCCCCAGGACATGTAAATAAAACATCTCAGTCAGAACTAGATTTTTCCAGAATAGTAGAGCAATGGAAACAATGCAGGTACAAGTTTTCTTACCATGGCTTCCTTGGCAGCCACTTCTGGTTGAAGGAGAAAGAAGGGAGGAGGGAAGGGGAGGGAAGAATCTCAATAGTGTCTCCCAGCTGCTGACTCAGTAAACAAGAAAGTAAAACACTCATGCGTGCATTATTTCAGAAGGCAAAGAGGTCATATGTGTTCTACTTGTTGCTATTAGACATCTTGCAAAAGAGTACAAACATAGGTTAAAAGGTCCCAAGGAATTTTTGTTTGTTTGTTTTTGTGAGGTGAGGCAGGTTGTTGGAGTCTATGAGTATGTGTTCTTTGTGTGTTGTAGCATCTATTGGATGAACAGACTTCTGATTCACAGCAGAGTCACCTGATGGACCTAGACAAAGAAGTCTCTAATCACAAAGGCCTTCATGGGTCAGGGTGTTATTGTAGCTGATGTGTTTCCATAGCAACCTGTGGATGGGTTTCACCAGAAGAGAGGCCCACGTGTAAATGACAGAATGATGACAGTGATGTTTGGGCAAAAAAGAAGCCCAGGGCAAGATAAACATGTTTTAAACAGAAATGCCTACAAGCTATGTATCACAAATTCTATTTAAAAGTAGGTACTGTCTAGTTAAAAACAGGCGAAGTCAACAGAGGCAATTGGTAAATAATTATGTATTTGATCATAACATTAAGGATTGGAAATACAATTTCTTGGGGAGAACATTTAGCTTAAATTAAAAAGAGAAAAGGGAATAAATCAGGTCGGAGAGACAGATTTTCTCAGGATGCTCCTAGGGAAGTGATGCTATGTAATTTGAACAAACTGAGGTGATTTTTTTATGTCTTTTAACTTCTTCACCCATGAAGCTTCTCCCAGACTAGGTAGAGAAAAGGGAGGTTTTAAAAAGCTCTTCTCAGTCTCTTCACTGACCTATCCAAGATGTCTAATTGAGTTCATTCAAATAAAAAATAACATTCTGAATAAAGAACAAAAGGTCAAAAACTTAAATTAAAAATGGATCTCTACCTGTTTATGGTGATGTACATAGCATGTGTCTCCTCAGAAATGTGAACTCCTAGAAGCAGGCACTATTGAGGATGTAGAAGCAACAATAAAGGCCCTTAAGTTACCATAATGGACTTGTTGAACCATCTGGGAGAAGTAACCATAGCAGTGGTGTGTGAGAGCCAGCCCCTACTAGCTCACGCTGCTATATTCCTACGCTCAGAGTGCCTCCAGGGACTGTTCTGTCTTGTGGGTAGCTATCCACTAATCATGATGAAGATGAGAATAACTGATAATAAGAAACATTTAGAAAACTCATCATAGTTTACAAAGTGTTTTCACATCTACTTGTTAAAAGCAAGTGATGCTACTCTCCCTGCTGTTTATAGAAACTGAGCCTTAGGGAGAGCTGAACATTTTTTGAGATCAAACGGTTCATAAGTGGATAACTGCTGGTGTTCTAATCTAGGTCTTCTGACAAAGGCGTCCCAGGTAATAATAGCTACAAGGTCTTATTCCTTCCAGAAATCCTTTTAGTTTAATGGAGAACTGTAATCAGGAACCTATAAAGCTGTTCAAGACTAAAGGATTAACTTCCCAATGTTGGGATTGTCCATAATTTTAGATCATGTCTAGAGTGCTTTACCCTAAATCATATGAGCATCCTCCTAATGTGGGTTCTCCATGGTTGGCCCTGCTTATAGGTTTTGGCGGCCTGGTTCATTTTGGAACTTACATGTTAGATCAATGGTTTTGCTGTTACTTATTAAATAGAACGTTCTTACTAAGGGGGCCATAAACTTGTATCTGCCACATCTCTTGATATAACCAACTGAGGTCAAGTTCTAACCAGTTCTCTGTAACAGATCAGCTTAATTGCTATCTATATGACTTATTTTATTTCCAGAGGTATTAATTTATGAAATAACTCTCCTCTTCCTCCTTATTCTTATCTTAAATCCAATGACTATCTTGAACAACTCTCGATGTATATATGCCTTTTGCATCCCTAAAGAAAGAAATGGTAGAAATGTCAAAAAAAAAAAACCCAAAAAATAAACGTGTGAAGGAGGAATAGCAACTCTGGAGGGAAGTCGGGGTTTCTGGGCTCAAGATGTGGCTCTGCTTCCAACGAACTCTGTGACCTCAGACAAGACAATCTGCATCTGAGTTTCCAATGTGGGCAAAATTGTTCCTGGATCTTTTACTTTCACACGTATTCAATGTAGGTGCTGCCAATAATTTATCAGGAAAGAATCGAACAGCCCAAACTATTTTAGTTCCTTTTCGTTTCATTGGTGTATCTTTAGCCTTTAAGTATGTATAAGTGTATCTCAGGGTGCCCAGACTCAATCTATTAATTCTCCAGAAACTTTATGATGAGAAAAGTGCAAAGAGCAGAGAAAGCACATAGGGCCTCAAAGCAAGGTGGTTTTCTCTTGTGCACCGAAACTGTCATGGACAACTTTAATAGAAAATGGAGTCAGTTTGTGCACTAACTGAGTTTTTTCAGTGTATATCTAGAAATTCATTATTTGTCTTTTTTGTTATCAGATTTTTGTTTTCTAATATGAGGGCACAAATGATACCAAGACATTTACTATCTGATCAATTTTGGGGACTGGAAGGAACAGATAGTAAAGAGAAGGGAGAGAAGGAGAAAAGGAGAATAGGAGGATAAAAACATCTTCGAAAATCTTAAAACATACTTTGGTTAAGAAAAATGTTTACCTGATGCCTACTTAAAACTAGGCGGAGTAATTTCTGTAATGAGAAAATATAAAAGAATATATTATATCAAGATTCTCTAAATACTCTAAACCCCCAAAGAAGTCTCTGAATGTAAGATTTAATATAATAAATGTCTTTTTTGTTTATAGTATATCTTTTTGTCTAAACATTAAACTTTTAATACTGTACTCAACAGCAAATTTTGAAAGAATCAAAATTTTAAAAATTGTGATTTTAAAGAAAGTAAAAAGTTCTCTGATTAACTGAAAGAACTTTCACAAAGCTCATGTCCTTTATATCATGGATGAGGCCTTCAGACTCTCACTCAGAGACTATTTACTTTTATTTTATAGAGAACACTTACAAGCTCAGTGGCTATGTTTCCAAACTGATATAAGCTTCAAAAGGCTTATGAGATCATTTCTGTTGTAACCCCAGTACTTACCACAAAACCTAGCACATAGAGTGGGCTCAATAAATGTTTGTTATCTAACGAGAAGATTAGAAGCAGTATTTAGTAGTTGGTGTTGTTGGCTGGGAGAAATGATAGTCTGAGATCCATAGAAAGAGTGAGAAAAATCACAACAACCAGACACGAAGCTCACCAATTTAAAAACACACGGTCCAGTACATCTTACTGGACTGAGCGATTAGAGCACAGATGCAAAAGCAATTGCCATTCTACAGTGATGACCCTGAGTCATTAGGAATATATTCAATTTTGTTTCATTCTTGTTTAATAAAAGTCAGGGAGCTATAGAGCACACGTTTGAAATATTTCCATCGGAGAGGATTAAAATAGTCCCTCAGTGGGAACCTTTACTCCCCTCTCATGCTGAGATTTCCTTTTGAAAATATAATCTTGATGGTATAATATTGCATATCTTTAAAAAATTAGACCTTGGTTCTATTCCAGGATGTCTAATTCCACAGTATCTTTTGTAGACATAGAAAGTATGCTTTTTCCTTGTCTTTTTGATTTATTAAGCTTCTTAGTAAAGACTCTGAATACATTCCACATATCCGATCTTCCTGTTTCAGTTACGAAACAGTACAGAATTGGATCAGCAACACAATTTAAACTTGTTAATGCAACTGTGATTCTATAGATTTTATAACTCTGCTTCCCAGGCTTGTTATGGTCAAACATATGTTCATCTAAGCTCACATCATGCTCTAAAACGCTGCGAATCAGCAACATCACATGAAAGGGGGTAAAACACAAGATAAAAGTCAACGTGATACTAACAAGTAGTTTTATGATTCTCTTCTTTTCACTGTTTTCTGTAGCTTGATTTTGCTGCACAGCTTTGTAGACTTTCTGGTTGCAAGCCATTATGATGACCAAAGGTATCATATAGCCTACACACGTCCTAGCAAAGTTAAACCGGATTTGCCATTTCTCCAAAGGATATTTGTCATAGCATAAAGTAAAGTTAGACTTTGTGGCATCACAATATTCAACAGCTGTTTCATCTTCCCACAGAATGACAGCATTGAAGATGGTTTCCAATATCCAGATGAAAAGGCTCACCATGAACGCACATCTTCTTGACCTAAGAAAAGAAAACTTCAAAGGGTAGACAACTGCTAAATACCGATCAATCGCGATGCAGGTGAGGAAAGCTGTGCTACTGTAAAAGTTCATGTACATGAAGAAGGCACTCCCTTTGCACAGGGCAGGAGAGAATGTCCAGTTGTCTTTATTCCAAGTATAATCAATCCATAGAGGGAGAGTTAAGGCATACAGCAGATCCGATAAGGATAAACTGAAGAGGTAAATGCCTAATTCATTTTCCTTCTTTGCTTGCAGAAAAGACACACATAGAGAACCGATGTTGGCTGGAATGCTGACTATTGTCACAAAGATGTAAACAACTGGAAACAAATAGTGATCCAAGTCATGCTGTTCTTCAATACATGTGCTGTTCATGTTTTCTTTTTTAGGTGCTGATTATATGCGTTCTTAGATGATAAGTACCAAGATAAGTCTTGTCTCTCGGTAGTTTGTTTTCAACACCTAACTCTCTTTCACTAAGATTTCTTCAGTTGTCCTTTGCTTTCAAAAGTTCTGATGGATTCATCAATGGTCTTAAAGGATGAGTGGAGATCAAGTTTCACACAGGTATCGATGGCTGGAAGTCAGGATCCAGGTTCCCGGCAGTTACTAAAGTGATCAGTGATTTTAATGTGCAGAAGTCCATGTGCTTATTCTCACAGCCTGCTGATGAAGAACCCTGGAGGATTCGCCACATTATCCATCAGTTTTCATAGAATGCTGTCTTCAGTTTGGTTTTCTTCGTGAAACTCAGAGGAGATTGGTGCGAACGTGAATATAGAAGGCTTTATTTTCACAAAGGTTGACATCTCTTTTTAAAATGGCTTCGTTTCTGTAATGAAAGACAAACTAGAATAGTTTGGGTGCTTAAAAGAGACATCATGAGTTTTGAAACAATCTTATTTTATTTCATTTATTGAGGATATCAAAATGCATGAAATTGCATACAATGAAGGTGTTTAAAAAGGGAAAATTGTCTAATTGACTTCAGTAAATGAAATCAGGCTGAGATATTTGACCTTTTTCAAATAAGAATTATCCAAAGGATGCCAGGTTAGAGGGAATTATATTGCTCACTAGACACAATCTAAGCACGCAAAACTAAAGTTAAAAGTCATTTTAGAAGCTAGTTTAAAAAAAAGATGGCGGATTCAATTATTTGTTTGTAATCAGTAAATGCATTTGAGTGTATGGTAAACTGTATGATTATAGGATTTCAATTTTTTAATTTCGTGTGCAAATTATGTATAAGGCACTTATTTGCAAAATATGCTTATTAGCCAAGAAAAAATTGTCACAAGAAGTTTGATAAAGTGAAGCACTTGAAAATAGAGCAGTTTGCTGAAACTTCGTAAATAATTAGACAACACTACCTCATTTGTTTCTCCTTTGCTTTCTTTGTGGACTGATTTACGTTATCTTTCTCGTACTCTTGTGAAAGAGAGGGCAGAATGTGCTCCATTCTGGGTAAAATCTGTGGTCATCAGTTTCTGCATTTATACCTGATTGTTTACTAGGTTAGCTTTTTAAAAATGTCTGATGTACATCCACGTAGGAACAGAGAATCCATCCTTCTCTCCATATTGGAATAGAGAACTACTAGCTTTATTCCTCTGCTAGTGAGTCCTGTTGGTGCTTTGATTTATCTGAGGGGAATCTTCACAGAAAGCTTTGTAGAGTCACCATGTAGGGGGAGGAAGACATGTCCTCTTCCTGTGTGCTGTGAGGCCTACAGGACCTCAAAACCATCCCTTTCCAAGTGTCGATGCGCCCTTAGCACAAAAGAGACCTGCCACCACAAGGCACCAGTATTCTGCTGGGAGAGTAAACCATATCCAGAGCCCATAGGATATGTCACTCTTAACACAAAATGGGGCACTAAGATTCCTGAAATCACCTAATTTTTCCATACCTAAAAATATGAATAAACAGCCTTTTATTTTTAAAATTTTTATTGGAATATAGTTGATTTACAAATGTTGTGTTAGTTTCAGGTGTACAGCAAAGTGAATCAGTTATACGCATACATATAGCCACTCTTTTTTTTTTTAAGATTCTTTTCCCATATAGGCCATTACAGAGTATTGAGTGGAGTTCCCTGTGCTATACAGCAGGTTTTTATTAGTTATCTATTTTATATATAGTACTGTTTATATGTCAATCCCAATCTCCCAGTTTATCTCTCCCCCTCTCAAACAGCCTTTAAATAAATAGGGAAACCTTCCAGAGAGGAAAAAAAGGAAGCAGGAGCTAAGATCACAGAGGTAAGTGAGCAGTAAAGCTCTGGGTACCCTAAGGCATACGTGGATCTGGAGGAACTAACTAGAGCTTGGACTGCAGAGAACAAGTGACAGAGCATGGGCCAGTGGCAGGGCATGGGCCAGTGGCAGGGCATGGGCCAGTGACAGAGCATGGACCAGTGGCAGAGCATGGGCCAGTGACAGAGCATGGACCAGTGGCAGGGCATGGGCCAGTGGCAGAGCATGGGCCAGTGACAGGGCATGGGCCAGTGACAGGGCATGGGCCAGTGGCAGAGCATGGGCCAGTGACAGAGCATGGACCAGTGGCAGGGCATGGGCCAGTGGCAGGGCATGGGCCCACACAGGTAGCACGGGGTCCTCGACATCCCACTCATGCTGGGATCCAGGAGCCTCAGCCATCAAAATAAACAAAATAACAAACTTTACAGATATTTGCAGACAGACAGCAGGGAACGTTGGCAAATTCCCTGTCTTACCTTTGTTTCTGTGAGGAGCTATCATAAAAAAAACAATCCCTGAGTACTCATGGACTCTGGCTGGTCCTCACTTGGGAATGGGGTCTGAGTCTATACTATTAATCTGGTTCCATAAACTTCAGGCCAATAGTGAATTAATATTGGATCTATGTGCTCAACTTCACTAGTCGTCAGAAATCTACAAACTAAAACCACAGAGGGATACAACTACACACCCACCAGAATAAACGAAATGAAAAAGATAGCAAATACCAAGTCTTAGTGAGGATGTAGAACACCTGGAACTCTCATATACTGTTGGCTAGAAAACTGTTTGGCTCTTATACAAATCATATGGTTCAGCAACTCTACTTCTAGGTATATGCTCAATAGAAGTACATACATGTGGTTCCCATGTATTCTACATGTGGTAGAATTAGAATGTTCACAGTAGCACTATTTGTAATATCCCCCAACTGGAATGCCTATTAGCGTTGGGAGGTAAATAGATTGTGCTATATTAACACAATAAAATCTATACATTAATGAAAATGAACAAATTATTGTTACATGCAATAACATGGTTGAGGCTCAGAAGCAATGCAGAGGGATCGAAAAAGGCAGGCAGAAAGGGTACATATTATCTGATGAAGAACCAGGTAGTGTTAATCTATGCTGTCAGACATCAGGGTAGCAATCCATTTACTGAGGGCTTTCTGTGTGCTGGACTCCATATAAAATGGCATGCATATTTATTATAATTTATGTTTTATTGTAACTCTGTGCTGTTTATTACAATCCTATATTACAAAGAAGAATTGAGCCACATATTAGGCAATTAGCCCCATATTGCCTGTCTAATCTTGGTAGAACTTGACTGCAATCCTAGGTTTAACTCTAAAGCCTCTTGACTCAACTATTTTGTCTTCTGCCTTTTACATAAAAATACCTTAGATGTCTGAGGTATTTTTGCTACGGCACAGACTAGCTTTGTTGAAAAGGAAGAGAATATTTTCTACTTTCCTCCTAAATAGTAGCACTGATGGATTCGTACAGGTCTTTCAACTATAATGGCTCTTCTAATTAAAGAAAATGACGTGAATGAAAATTTCTGCAAACTAGATATAAAATAATCAACCCTACATTTTCTAAAAGACGTCACTTTTATGTTCTCTATTAAACTGTGTGGATTTCAAATAAACTTGTGAGAATCATCACCTTACATCATGTCTCACACTCTGACAATGTGTCCTTATGTTTCCGTATATCTGTCAACACATTTTCTTTGGAAGGTTAAACATGTTCCTTTTCAGTAATTTATATAATGGATAAGGCAACATTTTATTTAGGCTTTTATTTTTCCTGTACTTGATTTTAGAAACAGATGGCTAAAAAGGAGCAAATATCCTGCTACCACGGGGAGGGCGGGAGCGGGGTGGGAGTGGGGGGAAGATCTCCCAGTTTTATGAGTCAGGAGGCTGAATTTTGAAGGGTCTATTGTTTAGATCAGGAATCATCTCTGAATTGGTTTAAAGCCGAAATTAATTATCTTTCACCACTCACAATGTGGTAATGAAAAAAATGTAAATAAGACCAACTGGAAGTGGGAAAACCATCATGCATTCCCGTTCTTCTCAACAAAGCCCACCTACATTGTTGCAGACAACTATGTAGAATGTCATATTAAATATTTAGTTATAAAAAACAGAGAAAGAGGGCTTCCCTGGTGGTGCAGTGGTTGAGAGTCCGCCTGCCGATGCAGGGGACACGGGTTCGTGCTCCGGTCCGGGGGGATCCCACATACCCCAGGGCGGCTGGGCCCGTGAGCCATGGCCGCTGATCCTGCGCGTCTGGAGCCTGTGCTCCGCAACGGGAGAGGCCACAACAGTGAGATGCCCGCGTACCACAAAAAAACAAAAAAACAAAAAAAAGACAGAGAAAGAAGAGTCAGATGGCTGTTATCTTTGGCGGGGGTGGTGGTGGTGGTGGTGGTGGTGGGTGAGTAATGACAGGAAGAGGGCACCAGCAGGACTTCTGAGAATTGGGTAATGTTTTGTTTCTTGATATGAGTGTTGATTCCATGAACAAGTTCAGTTTGTAAAAATGAATCATGCTGTACACTTAGGATATGTTCCTTTTTGCTGCATGCAGATTATATTGCAATTAAGGTTAAAAAGTGAAATCAAAAGGCTATGTGAGATGAGATGTAAAGAATCTTGACAACTAACATCTGAATAACCTGCAGATACAGCATATATGTCTTCCTAAGAAATGGTATGATTTCACTTCTTTCCTCACATATAAAAAGTAATTTATAGAAACACAACAAAACAAACAATAAACAACTTAAATAATCTGAAAATAAATTCACCCATAATAAAAGTTTACCATATGAAAGAATAAGTATTCTAGGCACGTGGAAGAAGTAAATACAAACCATGCCTTGAGGGAAGCTCCCTCAACCCAGGCTTTAAAGAGTTCTCACAGATCTTGTTCTAACAAATATAGGCTGATTAAAACCCCCCAACCCCAAACACACTCGATTTTAAAAACAGATGGATAAAAAGAACAAATATCCTGCTACCACACTAGAAGAAATGTGAAGAAGAAAACACACACACTTACACACATACAGAAATTAGCTTCTATGTGTGAGATTCAGCAAAAGCAAGAAAGAAGAGTACTAGATCCACAAAAGCTTTAGAGATAAAATTAATAGATATATAACACAAAACAAGTATGTTTAATACATTTAAAGAAACAAGAGAAGGAATCTGAACACATGAGTAAGGCTCAAGAGACTATAAAAGATGACTGGGCATATTTTTTAAAAGATTGAAATAGACCTTTCAGAAATTAAAAAATACAGTAATATAAAATTAAAAATTAACACAGGGACTAACCGACTGCCTAGCTCCAGCTGAAGAGAAAATTAGTATATTGTAAGACAGAGCTAAAGAAATAACACAAAATTATCAGAGTGCTAAAGAGACAGGAAAATACCACAGAGACATGGAGGATAAAGTGAAAAGGTCAGTGCATGTATAATTAAAGTTCACAAGGACAGAAGAGAGAAAGTAGGGGAGAGGCAATGTTAGAAAATATGCTGACTGAGAGATGTCTGAAAGTGATGAAGGACATGGCATCCTCAGATTTATGAAGCTCAGCAAACCCCAAATAAGATTAGAAACAAACAGAGCTGGAAATCTATACTTAGCCAACATTGCAATCAAGCTGCAGATCACCAAAGACTAAGAAAAAAAAGAGCCAGAGAGAAAAAATGGACTACCTACAAAGGATGAAATTTCGACCGACAAAGACATTTTCAACAACAATGATAACATAAACCAGAAGACAGTGGATTGATGTTTCCAAATTGTTATGAAGATATATGTCATCCTATAACTGAATACCCAACCGAACTAAATTTCAAAATGAGAGCACAAATGAGGATATTTTAAGATAAACTACCACTGAGAACATTGACCCCCAAAATCCTCATTAAAGGGACTTCTAAAGAACATAAGTGAAGAAGGAAAATGACACTCGAAAAATGTCTGAGATGCACAAAATTTAATAAGCTACAGAGGATGGAACTCTGACGGTTACGCAACATCATGTCTATCACTAGGCTCATGCGTCTGGGGAAGAACACTTAAACCATGAAAATATTCTTCCTTAGAAGAAGGACTTGGGAGAACTGGGTGATGAGCAGGAAGGTGCCCCTTCCTGCTTTGTCCATGTTACTCAACAAATGCTCATCTTAAAAAAAAAAAAGATAGGAAGGGTCAAATGGAAAAATAGTTTTGAGAGGACTTACAAAATTCTCAGTGGAATAAATTTCTTTCTCTGTAGGAATATTTCCTGCCTTAACTAAAACAACCATAAGACTGAATGGTTTAATGAAGCAGATACTGGGTGTCTTCTGGGTTGGGCAACAGAGGCAGTGTTTCTGGGGGCTTGTGGTTACACGTGTGAGGGCTCTGGAGACTCAAAGGTTCTCAGCAGCTCTTGGGGGATTTGTGACCATGTGTATTCCTTCACCTCTCTAAGTTTCAATTTTCACAGGCGTAAGATAGCAACCATTTCACAGAATTCTTGTGAGGATTAAATGAGATAACACATGAAACTCAGTACTGAGCACATGGTAAGCCTTCATGACATGTTAACTGATATTGTTCTAATGACAACACTGGTGGCCTGTGTTGTTCCCTACATTTCCTGAAAGCAGATCATCTTTGGCCACCTATCCAGAGCATAGCAGAGAAACCAGAGGCACTCAGTATATAATTTATATAATAACATTTCACACATGATACCAAATGCTGCAGAGGAGAGCTGTTAAATTAATTTGTGTGAATCTGAGATTTTAACAGAATACATAATTCTTATTATTCATACATCTTTTCAGATATTATTTTGATTGCTTTAATCATATTTTGAGAAAACTGTTTTTAGATCCAGTGCTGAGAAATTTGGATAAGTGTTTAATTCTGATTTTAATTTTTACCTGATGCCCAAAGAAGATAATCCACAGCTCCTAAAATAGTACCAACCATTGATGGTTGGTAAAAATCAGAATTAAAACAGTACCAACCATTGATGACAATGATCAGAAGATAAAATGTTATAGGAAACATTTGCCTTCATTTATCAGTTGAATAGCTACTTATTAACACTCTACTGTGTGTCAATGTGATAGTCATCTCTTAAGAATTATTAATTAATTAATACATACTAGAAATATTAATTAATACTGGAAATATTATTTTCAAATTTCACATTGTTTCTGATGGTATAAAAAAATATCACTAGACCTTTATACTGCTGAGGAAGTGGTGCTAGATATCTCTACAGCCAGGAGTTGGTACATTTCTTCCCTAACCACTTAATTTTCATTTTGCCAATATACTGTTTCCTGTAGAGGAAATGGAGCATAAGCATTCCTCTTTTATATTTTGATAGTGTTACCTATTTCTAAATGTAAATTTTGACATCCTTTACTACTGCTCAAAGTAGAGAAGCCATGTGTCATCCTCATTTCTCCCCGTCTTATAATGCTTTGCATGACCACATTTATACAGCCCAAACTAGAAAAAATGTTGCAAATATTACTGACAATCATTCAAAAGTATGTTATCTACTTAAAGTCTTATTTTTTAATCTTACACTTACCCATGTTTCTTGGGATGATGATTTTGTTGACCGAGGAGCCAGATAAATCTGCTTGCACCCAGAAGAGAAACCAATATTATTGAGGGGACAGGAAATTGCACTCATATTTCATCACAAACCAATGAGGAAGCAGCATATTAATGAGAAGGATGTACCTTATCCAAGTTTGAGCAACAGAAGTCTCCTAAGTATTTTAAAAGATGTTTTATGTATTATTTACTGTAGTGTAATTTTTATTACTCACTTTTCTCTTTGCATCTTAATTACAATTGTATATTGATACTATATGTGCTTTATTTGATAGAATATGTACTAGAATCTCATTCATTCATTCACTCCCTCCCTCACTCATTTGTCTGTCAACACATATATCTATCCTCCTCTCCTAAGAGACCACTGTGCTGGCAGATATATAGGACGTGACCCTAACCCATAAGGAGCTTATCACTTAGGGAAGGAGAAAGCGCTAATAACCGCAATGGTAAAAATAGTAAAAATGGATAAATACTCCAAGAGAGGTACAAAAAGATAGGATGAGTCGTTGGATGTATAGAATAGGAGAGGCTGTTGTAGATGGAATCAGGGTGATCAAGATCCTGGGAGAAAAACAACAGAGAGAGAATGTGGATGTGTGTATAAAGAGCATGTTCATTGCTTAATGGCATGATGGTGGGGTCAAGGTAGCCAACTAGGTAAAGTTTTTGTTTTTTTTTCAAAGGGATTATATATTAGCTATACAGTATTTTATTGTAGAACCATTTTCTCCTTTGATTTTCCTCTTGGAAGAGAAGATTCCATCAGAAATTGCTAAACCATGCTAAAGCCACTTGAACTAACTGGCTTAGGCAAATCAATAATTTTATGAGACTTGAAACTTTATTTGAGAAAGACATGGGATGTTATAATGAAAATTCACTTAGTATAGTAACACCTTGACAGTTGTTGCCAAATCTGTAAGTGATCTTTTTTTTTTTTTCGGTACGCGGGCCTCTCACTGTTGTGGCCTCTCCCGTTGCGGAGCACAGACTCCGGACGCGCAGGCTCAGCGGCTATGGCTCACGGGCCCGGCCGCTCCGCAGCATGTGGGATCTTCCCGGACTGGAGCACGAACCCGCGTCCCCTGCATCGGCAGGCGGACTCTCTACCACTGCGCCACCAGGGAAGCCCTGTAAGTGATTTAATGTGAAGTGAAATTAGCTCCTGGAACTTCTGAGATATAAAAAAGCCAGAGACTTCACTTTTGAACCTTGCTTTAATAAACTTTTATTACACACGAAGAGGAAATTTTTACTTTATAAGGACAGAATTAATTTGGGATGGAAAAATTTAACTTCATTTTAAAAACTGTAATCATGACAATTTGAGCCTGCCTTTGTAAAAGGGCATTAGAAGTTCCTGTTGGTAGGGTTTTTAAAATTTCTCCCCAGAACTGGAAAAGATGATCTTGTGATATAACCAAGATTTTTAACCTTGAGGTTATTCAGGATGTAACAAGAGTATAATGGGTTTCCTATACTTCCTTTGTAGGTCTTTTATTGAAAATAATAAAAGTAATCATTTAGGTTTATAAAGTACATTTGCAAAGTAATTTAGCATATAGGAACTTAAAAATTCAGAATACTTTCTATTTTTACTGAAATAATAAAAAATTTAAGTACAATGTAGAAAATTAATAGTAAGACAAGCCTTTAAAAAAAAAATGAAAGCAATGATTTCAGTTTACTTGTCACTCTAATCCAAAATTCTCATTTTTGTTCGGTTTTGCACATCCACTTATCTGTGGCTTCTATACATGGGTATCTCATGACACTCACAATTTCTTATTTTACCTAAATAGACTATACTTCTGCTTTTAGGGAAATGGCATCTTAATATCCACATCAGATTTTTATGTATTTTGCTATTCAAAAGAAAAAAAGGATGTTGTTACAAAGCACAGGAAACGCAAACTTTCACTTCTGATTAATTAGGAGAAAAACTGTGGCTGCCCTATGCTGAAACTTTGTCAGTTCCACATAATAGGACATTTAAGAACCTGTAATAACTCTGTTTCTTATTTAGTCCAGAATATTTGACAATACTGTATTTTCAACTACAGAGCTAGCTGATGAAGAGATGGAAATTCCAGAGCTGTTGAGTCTCTGACATTTAAACAACTCCAAGGTGAGAAAAAGCCAATTAGAAGCATTCAGAATACTACCTTGAGGGGTTTGGTGTTCCTGGCATGTTGGTATCTGGTTTCCTGAGGCCACAGAATGGACACCCAACACTGGCCCGTGCAGGGCACTTGGGCTGCCCATGGGGAAAAGGGGAAGTGAATGTGGTCTTGCTTGGCTCCAACTTCTCCGTGGGGCAGATAGTGGAAGAATCTAATCTGCTGATGAAGGGTCCTTTGCATCCACATTTTCCACTTGCTGCAATTTCACTAGTTCAAGTAGCAGCTAAACATGGCAGGGAACATTCTGAAATACTGATTTATTTCCCCAGCCTTACTTCCTTTTACCCCATCCCTATTCCCCCCCCCCCCACTCAATTAGCCATTTTGCATTTATTGCCTCAAGAGAAGGAATTCTTGGCAGAAAAATACGAGGTTGGGAGGAGAAGACAATCCTAGGTTTAGAGTTTCAAAGGATTCATGCAACTCAGGAGAATGAAAAGAACTGAGGTGCAGACAATCTGCTTGGAAGAATATCTGTTGAGCTAAAGCAAATCTTCCGGCCCCCAAGAACAGATAAAAGGTATTTCCTCCCGGTGGGGCTGGGGCTTAGGGTTGTGAGAAGGGAAGTCATGAGAATTCAGATGTGGTTGCCTGATACAGGGACACTGCATCCTGACTGTTTGTACCCTCTCCCCTGCAATCCCTGAGGTGGGGGTGGGGTGACAGTTACTCTGATGAACTGCATGATGTGGGGAGGAGAGTGATCCTGTCTCTCATGTCCAGGGTGAAGTCCAGATAGGAGGCTATCTCAGGACTACATGTGTGAGAGGCCTGAGACAAACTTACCACATTCCCCTGTGCCCAGCACAGCGCTGGTCAGGGCACACGAGGGGTGCACAGAAGTGATGCAAGGCCTCAGCCCACCTCATGGCGCTTCCAATGGTCCAGAGTGTCAATGAAGAAGCCTTGTCCGCATTGATGAGGGACAACCCAGGTGAGTCCTGCATGGGCTAACTACCGAGGACCAGAAGGGAATGAGGACATCTCACGAGAGGCCAGCATGCACAGAGGGCAGCCTTGAGAATTGGGGCTTGAGGTAAACCTCTCCAGCCTTACCTACATACAAACTCCCTGGATCCTAGATGGTGTTATGGGCTGACTTGCATCCCCTTACCTCTCTGCCAAAATCCATATGTTGAGGTCCTAATCCCTAGTATGTCATAATGTGACTGTACTTGGAGTTAGGCTCTTTAAATAGATGACTAAGTTAAAATAAAACTGTTAGCATGGGTCCTAATCCAATCTGATCGGTGGTGTCCTTATAAGAAGAGGAGATTTGGACACACAAAGAGACACCAGGTATGCGCATGCACAGAGGAAAGACCAGGTGAGGACAGAGAGAGTAGGTAGACATCTGTAAGCCAAGGAGAGAGACCTCAGAAGAAACCAACCCTACTGACACCTTGATTTTGGACTTCCAGCCTCTAGAACCGTGAGAAAATAAATTTCTGCTGGTTACACCACCCAGTCTGTGGTGTTTTGTAATGGCAGTCCTAGCAAAGTAAACACAGGCAGAATCCAGAGGAAGAAGACGTAGGATCCTGAATTGACTGTGATTAAGTGTCCACCAGTTTGGTAGAATGGGGTATTGAAATGGAATTTTAGTTGAGTTACAGAAAGATAAAGAATATTTTATTTCTGGCATCTCTGATTATGGCCTGAGATTGGAATCCACTTCATGTGTTTGATTTAAAATGTGTAATTCAACAAACATTTATTAAGCCTTTGAATAGGACTACTGAGCAAAAATATTTTTCTCATTACTTGTCAAGGAGCCTAAAATGTAACTATTAGATGACTTTTATTGGGGGGGGGGGTCTTGAAACTTTTACCAGCAGGCTTTCTTTCTAAGGATGCAAATATATTCCTTGTGTTCGGGCGGGGGGGGGGTGGTGGCGGAATATTAAGTTGTCAGATAAAACCTTACTTGGCTTCTACATTATGGCAAAGCTGCCTGAGATCCATTTACATCAATGGTTCTCCAAGTATGCTTCTTGGATTAGCAGCATCAATGTCACCTCTGAACATTGGAGAATTAAAATTCTCAGTCTCACCCCAGGCCCAGGGAATCAGAAGCTCTGGGGCTGGAGTTCAGTGATGTGTGTTATAAGAAACACTCCAAGTAGTTTTGATGCCCAAAGTTTTGTTTTATTTAAGGAACAAAGTTATTTTTTAAAATAAACAAATAAATTTATTTATTTATTTATGGCTGTGTTGGGTCTTCGCTGCTGCGTGAGGGCTTTCCCTAGTTGCTGCGAGCGAGGGCTACTCTTCCTTGCGGTGCGCAGGCTTCTCATTGCAGTGGCTTCTCTTGTTGTGGAGCACAGGCTCTAGGCACGCGGACTTCAGTAGTTGTGGCACGTTGGCTCAGTTGCCCCAAGGTTTGAGAACAACTGGTGTACAGGATGGTTGCCTGGGTAAGAGACTGTTGGGGTGGGTGGTGGAGAGGCAGGGAGAACAGAACCTCTAAAAAGGGAAGAGTATGGAAACACTTTATGTTCAAATTCTTGCTTGCTTTTGGTACTTTAACCCTGTCAGAAAGGAAGAAATTTTTCTCTACCCTTCTGTGTTCCTCTGGCTGGTCCAAGAATGAAATTGACATGAGACAGATTAACAGGAGAAAATAAAACAAAAGTTTAATAGCATGTATGCACTGGAGAGGCCCAGGAAAACTGAGTAACTCATTAAAATGGCTGAAATCCTCACCTTAAGTATTATCTTCAGCTAAAGACAAAAGAGGATGTTGGGGGTAGTTGTTCAGGACTGCAAAGAGGAGGAAGGCAATTCATATAGAGATGAAAAAGCAAATGTTTGGTAAACAAATGTTTGCTGGGTCATGCAGAGACAATGGGGCACACAGAGGACTCTGATCCCTAGGCTCTGCTGAGTTTCCCCCATCACAGTCCACATTTGCAGATATCTCTGGTGATAGCTCTAATCTGGGAACAGGCCCTTTATCCAAATTCTCTTAAACAGTTAAGGGGGGAGGTAGCAAGAAAAACTTCCCAAGTCTTCTGTTTCTTAAAAATAATCAGTCTAAATCAATTCTCATACCAAAGAGACACATTTTGGGGTGGCAGATTTTGTTCCCCTACAGCCCTATTATCCCTTCATCAGTATTTAAATTCCATTCTGCATCATTGTACCATTAGTTCACTTGGCTCTGCCCTTTTCAAAACAGTTGAGCTAATACAGCCTCTCATTTCAGACTTGTAAATGATTTTAACTTAAAGCTTAAGTCTGAACGTAAGTATAGTAACAGTTAAAATGGAGATATGTTATCAAACTAAGGACTAGAGTCTTTAATATCTTAAATACCTTTTCAGAACATCTAATATGTATTTCATGATGTCTGTAAATTGCATAAATGCCTTTTAATTCCTTTGTTATATTCATTTATTGAAATAACCAAATTTAAGAAGATTAACTCCAAATAGTTTCCTCTGATGTATTGCGGATGTGCAGACTGCTGATTAGCTTAATTTTTAAAGTCAGGATAAGAAGTGTAAGTCCTTGTGGAATTATCTGTTGAGTTTGCTTATGGTAGGGATAACCAGCTAATCGTTTAAGTTTTAGGATCGAAAAAATATTTCATGAACTTAGATTTAACCAAGACATGTACTAATATTTAAGGAGGTTCAATCCAAAGGATAGGGCAGAGAAGTAGAAATGATTGGCAAAAAATTGAGTCAACTGGGGCAGAGGGGCTAGGGACAGACAGGAGGGAGGATCTGAAGCCAGCTTAAGTGTTGTGGGTTCTATGGCATCTGGACTGGGGAAGGCAGGTTCTGTTACCCAAAGCTGTGGGTCATACCAGAATCCACAGAATGAGCAGAGCAGAGCAGAGATTATAGTGAAAACCCAAGAGTGATAGGAATACCTGCCATTTTACAGAAAATAATGCTAGAGTGTTTATTTTCCTTGGTGCTTTTTTAGAGGATGCTAAAGTATCTTTGCAAACGTGCAGTAACTGAGTAAATCCCTTATATCATTTTATCATACCCATTTCTATGAATAAGCCCTCAAAATATTAGTTACTGCAATATTTAATACTATATCATATGAGTGGTTTGCTGAAATGCATCATGGGTAAGTGTTGTGATTTTAAAATATGTTCACAAATTCCTTGGCACCCCTCCTTTCAAGAGGTAGAGCCCGATTTCCCTCCCCTGGAGTGTGGGCTAGACTAGATGACTCATTCCTAGAAAATAAAGCAGAAGTGATGGTGCACTATTTTGGAGACTAGGTCAGAATAATCCTGTGAATTCCTCCTCATGCTCTCTCTCTCTCTGCTCACTTGGTCTTGAGGGACGCCAGCTGCCCTGTCGTGAGAAAAGGTCCACGTGGTGGGGATCTGAGTGAGCCAACAATACTGAGTAACCATCTTGGAAGTACATCTTCAAACCTCCAGATAATTACAGCTCCTGCTAACATCCCTACCGCAACCTCACTAGGGATTCTGAGCTAGAACCACTCAGTGAAGGTGATCCAGTATTCCCAACCCACAGAAACTGAGAGATACTAAATATTTGTTGTTTTCAGCTACTGAACTTTGGATACTTTATGACACAGGAACAGATAACAAATTCAGTATATATATTGTTGAGTTGATGTGAATGTTGTGACATGGAGAAATTATGAATTTGGGATTAATTCAGGCAATTGTCAGTGTTCAAGAAATTTTCCCTTTTTGTAACCAAAATACTCTGTTAACTCTCTGGGTTTATGGCATATACTTAACTCATTTTAAACAAAATTTCCTAATAATCATGGTTACTTATTGCTAATTAAAAGACAACTGTCTGAAAAAAAAAAAGAAATTTTAATCCTATGGTTTGGACATGCAAGCAGTACAGACAGACAGTAGGTGTATAAGTCAGCTCAGGCTGTCATGACAAAATACCGTAGACTGGGAGGCTTCAACAGTAGAAGCCTTGATTTTCTCATACTTCTGGAGGCTGGAAGTCCAAGGTCAAGGTATCTGCCATTCAGTTTCTGGTAGGGGATCTTTTTCTGTCTTGCAGACAGCTGTCTTCTCACTGTGTTCTCACATGGTAGAGGTGGTGGGGTAGAAGGGATGAAGTGAGAGAGAGAGAGGATGTGAGAGCAGGGGGCGGGGGGAGAGCCCACAAGAGCGCACTCTGGTGTCTCTTCTTATAAGGACCCTAATCTTAGTGTATCAGGGCCCCATCCTTATGATCTCATTTAACTTTAATCACCTCCTTATAGTTTCTATCTCCAAATCCAGTCACAATGGGGGTTGGGGCTTCAATATATGAATTTTAGAGGGAAACAATTTAGCCAGTAATCAAAGTCTGAGATGGGGTGGGAAAGCAGGTTGTTGTCCAAATTATCCTATCCTGAGGTTGGGGAGAAGTACAGTGAGTGGGGGATGGAAACCAAACAGCATTTGAGGCTTCCATGGGGCCAGAATGCAGGAGGGGGAGGTCTTTCATCCAAACTGTTGGTGTCAAAATCAATTAAGCAAAGTGAGAAGCCAGGGCTGCTGAAGTAGCCTGTGACTGGAGGGATAGAGCCCAAAACAATACTGGCAGTCAGAGTATGGAGACGGGAGTCGGAAATCTAGGGAGGAAGATCACAGCAGTGAATGTAGAACAAGTACTGGCAGGTAATTCTTACAAATAGGCATGAATGCACATGGTGGGGTTATGTTTGCTGCAGGCTGGTGCCTGGGACGACTGGCCACTACTGTTCTGTTTCTCCTTGCAGGACACCTCTGACACCCAGTGTGTGTGGGTTTTCCTTCCACCAACAACCAGTTCTCCAGTACTCCAGACACAAGCTAGAAGTCCTTCAATTTAGTTCACTTCTGACACTAATTACCTGGAGTACGCACCAGATTCCACAAGGTAAGAGCTCCATCCCACAGGGCTGTTTCCACTTCAGATGCTGGTCACAAGACCTCAGTCTCCAGTACTTTGGACCAACTGGCTGTCATTTGGGGGTTCCCACAACCCACTCCTCAGGTTCAATAATTTGCCAGAATGGCTCTTGGAACTCAGGAAAGCATTTTACTGACATTTACCAGTTTGTTACAACTGAACCACTGTTAGATATTGTTACAGGCTGAATTTTGTCTGCCTCAAATTCATATGTTGAAGCTCTAACCCCAGTGCCTCAGAACGTGACTGTATTTGGAGATAGGGCCTTTATAGATGTGATTAAGTTAAAATGAAATTGTTAGCATGGGCCCTAACCCAATCTGACTGGTATCCTTATAAGAAGAGGAAATTTGGATACACAAAGAGACACCAGGGATGCGCATGCACAGAGGGGAGACCGTGTGAGGATGCAGAGAGATGGTGGCCACCTGCATGCCAAGGAGAGAGACTTCAGAAAAAGCCAAAGTTCCCACCACCTTGATTCTGAATGTCAGAACTCTGAGAAAATAAATTTCTGTTGTTTAAACCACTGTTTTGTTGTATTTTGTTATGGCAGCCCCAGCAAAGAGTGGATATCCTTCAATCTCATCTTTAGCAGCCAGAGGCAACCCAGGGCCTGGCATACATGAGATCTGCTCAGTCCAACCCCAGCACCACTGGCCACATGTGGCTATTGTGCACTTGACATTAGGCTAATCCGAATTGAGGTGTGCTATCTGTGTAAGACACACTCTAGATTGTTGAAACCTTCGTATGAAAAAACCCCCACAAAATCTTTTATTAATATATTTTCATACTGATTACATATTTATCAATAATATTTTGGATATCTGGGGTTAAATAAAATGTATCATCAAAAATTAATCTCACCTGCTTTTTTTTTTAACTTTAATGTGGCTACTAGAAAATTTCAAATTATGTATGTGCTTTGCCTTACATTTGTGGGATGGAATTGTACTAGATGTTTAAAAAAAATCTTTTGAGCCATGGGAACCTCTTGTACTCTTATTTTCTTCATGCCTAAGACTTGAAATTAGGTGGACTCTAGAATTCTTCCCCTGGTAGGAGTGCAGAAAATGGTATTGACGATCCAAAGAAGAATAGACATATCACAGGTGAAACAGGAGGACAGCAAAACTTCCTGGAGTTCCTTTATTGGAACTAATCCATGCATTAACAATTACCAACAGGGACTTCCCTGCCGGTCCAGTGGTTAGGACTCCACACTTCCACTGCAGTGGGTGTGGGTTCAATCCCTGGTGGGGGAACTAAGATCCCACATGCTGTGCAGTACGGCCAAAAGAAAAACCAAAACCCAAAAACAACAACAAAAAACCCCAAAAAACAATTACCAACAAAAGAACTACAGGTGGTGAAGTAGTGTTTAAAGTAGGGTTAATGCAGACCTAGAGGCTGAGAATTCTTTGCAGTGATCACAAATGGTCTTGATTATTACCTGGTGTATCAGTCAGGGTTCTCAGCTGCAGACAACAGCACCATCTTTGGCTAACCTGAGCAAAAATGAAAGACTTAGAAATCAAGATAAGGCACAGAATTGCTGCTGAGGCTGCAGAACCTGTCTTGTGAAATGGGCCAAAGGACTAGAAAGACAGCCCAGGTCACCCTGCCTGAGCAATAGGTTAGGATGGCACTTCTCACCCTACTGCTCCTGGCACTTGAAGCCCATCTGGTGGAGCCTCTATGCCACCACCTCCTCTGCACTCTGACACTGCTCCAGGGTGCTTTCTCAGTCGTCCATACATCTAATCACTCTTCCAAGATCAAAGTCACAGGTTTGGGGAACTGACTGAGGGAGCTGGGTCACTGGGGCTCTAGAGCCCATGCTACTGGGGGTGAGAAGAGGGAGGATGTGGCACCTTAACTCCTGAAAGAGGTGGAATCTGCCTCCCACCAAGACTCACATGAGGGGAATCAGCCACACGGGACATGGATTTGGATGAGTGTAGACAATGAAAACAGAAAAAAAAATTCAGACCAGTACAAAGACAGGAAGAATCCTTTTCCTCAGGACTGTCTTAGTTTTGTGGAGAGCAATAAACTCAAGAGCTACACTATAGTTAATCTGTATTCTATTTATGTTATTATTTATATAATAAACCCTTTCATAGCATGCAGTATGATTATATATATATATAAATATAAATATGGTGGTCACTCTTCTAAATGTTTCATAAATATTAATTCTGCTAACCTTCATATCAACTTCTCTATCATCATCTCTATTTATGGATGGTTAAACTGAAGCCCAAAGAAGTAAAGTAACTTGGCCAAAATCACACAGCTAGTAGGTGGTAGGAGAGATTTGAAGCTATGTAGTCTGGGGTTCCAGGGCTGATCGTTTAACTACTATACCACACTGCTCCTTACTATAGCAATTTTTATCTGTAGTTATGCTTAAGAAGATGTTTAGTAAGCAATATATAATTTATTCCGTTATGTGGGTTCTATCCTTTGAACCATTTTTACTGTCTTTATATATAAAGCCCTGAGTTTACAGAGAGAAGTCATTGAATAGCGGGTGATGTAATTAACAACTGCAATCAAGCAACTTACGTACAAGTTGTAAAGATCAGATAAATGACAGATGTTACAGGATAGTTCATGATAAGAAAATACTTCATACTTTTGGCCCCAGAGGACTCTTACTTTAAGAAATGTTTCCAACTTCTTTTATAAATAATTCTTTTTTCTTACCCCCTTATATCATTTTTCAGTGATTTTCTAAAAATCAAACTTTTATTTTGTTGTGTCAAGATATTGAGTCCTATCCAGACCCCTGGTTATACAGGAATTTACTCATGTTTTCTAATACAACTTGTAAGGTTTCATTTATTTACATTTAGAGCTTTATCCATTTGGCGGTTATACTTATGTGTGGTGTGAGGTATAGATCTAAAATTTGATCTTTCCCCAAATAGTTATCCAGCTGTCCCAATATCATGTTTTAAAAAGCCCATCCTCTTCCATTGATTTAAGACACCATCACCTAATTCAGACTTCTAAAAGTAAAGCCATTTCTTAAAGTGAGACAACAGACTTTATCAATAACGTTTCATTAAAAGGCAAGATTGCTCACTTTTCTCAAGACCATCTGATTTTGATCACTTCAGAAAACTGAGAAATTTTCTGTGGCTGAAGTACAGCTGTGATACTCAGAAACGTTGCTTATTTAAGAGAAAAACTGTCCTTACTTTTTAAACTCATCTGACTTTTGAGAACTGAGAGACGCTTCTTTCCTACTGTCTGGTGTATATCAGGGACCCTGAAACCACAGAAGCAAGGGAAGCCGAACACACAATCACTTGTCTGATAACGGCCGCTTCCCTTTATCTCATGTCTTGAGCACATCTGAGTGCCGTGCCCAGCAGTTCAAGGATCTCTCTTTCTCAGCTTGTATTTACTGCTTTTTTATTAGAAACTTTTTTTTTTTTTCCCCGGTACGCGGGCCTCTCACTGTTGTGGCCTCTCCCGTTGCGGAGCACAGGCTCCGGACACACAGGCTCAGCGGCCATGGCTCACGGGCCTAGCCGCTCCGCGGCATGTGGGATCTTCCTGGACCGGGGCACGAACCCGTGTCCCCTGCATCGGCAGGCGGACTCTCAACCACTGCGCCACCAGGGAAGCCCTATTAGAAACTTTCTCGTCTAATGGTTTCCTGAGCGTAGATTAGAAATTTGCAACAAGAGACATTTTCCCTGGTAAGGAATTACTTTGGTTATGAACTAATGGGAACTAGTGGTACATATTTACTGTTAAATATTCTGTTTCCTCTTTTACAAATATCACACATTGCACAAATATTTGTGGTGTGCCTTCCAAATACAAGGTGCAACAGTGTGTTACAGAATGACATATACTGGGTTCTGGTTTCAACTTCCCAGTTTCGCTTGTATGGTATTTTTTCCTCTATTTTCTTCTAGTTACATGATTATGCAGATGTTACATGCATATCCCAGATATAAAATCTCAGGGTTGGTAGGAAGCTTAGCAGTTACTTGATTTATCAGCCACGTCTTGCAGCCACTGGTGCTCCGCTCATGTTTAAAATTTTATTAGAACAGATGGATCAGAGTGAGTTCAGAGAAGGTACATCTATGGAACTTGACAAGTTACTGACTTGAATCACAGAATGGTGATTGTAAGGAAGGTAGTTCAGATAAGTGCTGTATGGGGAAAAGAAGAAATGGAAGAAAACAAGTGGCCAATATACAGGGAACTATATAATTTATCATACAAGCCAGAACATTTTTGAGGGTGAAAGGGATACTATCAATAATTATGTTAGGACAATAGACACAAGCTGGGACTGTCCTTGGTAAATCACAATAGACCTATAGTAATTTAGGAAGGTGGAAAGAGTAAGCATACTCTCCATTAAGAACCTAGAGATATCATAAGGGCCTGACGAGTGTGTTTACGGGACTGCCCAGATAAATTTTTCCTCCTGGTATAATCGTAGTCTTGACACTTAAATTTACGTTTGCAGTTAAGGGGCAAAACAATCAGACCTGGGGATCAGAGATGCTTTCTCTGCAGCCTCTCAATAGTCTCTTCAATTTGTTTCAATACCAAGGAAATCAGAAATCTCAGACCAATGCCGGATGTGGCAGGAATCCCAGGACAATCCACAACTTCCCTGCCAATTTAGGGTTATCTGCCTGGAACCATTTCAACTGGCAGCGGCAAGTACCTTATGAAGCAACCAGGATGAAGTTGTTACCAGGATGAAGTTGTTACCAGGATGAAGATCCATGTCAACTAAGGCTTGCTAAGTGTGTCACGCATTCAGCTAAGATTTACTGCCTGTCTGTTGCCTTACTCGTATTTCATTTAATCATATGTCCCCATGCGGCTGCTCTCCTTGCTTCATCTTACGTAAGAGGAGACTCAGGCTCATAAAGCTAAGTGACTCCACCAAGGTGACAGCTGAACAGGGACTAGGATAGAGACTCAAGCCTGCTCCTCTTTCTCGTTCTGCCACGTACTGGCAGGTGGCAGAAGCGCCCGGAGACGTTCGGGGAGGTCCATAATAGGCCACGCACTGCCCTGCTCCCTTGGCCTTGGACATCCACCTCCCCTTCGATAAAGTGCTCCAGTGGGTGAAGCCGAAGGAGAGGCAGCGAACGGATACACGCGAAGGCTTAACTCGGAGCGTGAACTTCGGCCGAGTAGGAAAGGCTCGCTCCGCCCTCCCCCAACATTACGGCGGCTGCGTCAACGAGCTGCGGCCCACACTCAACATGGCGGCGGCGGCGCCAGCGGCCTCCTGCCCTTCTCCATCATGGCGGCAACCGGACCCGCCTCCGCGGGCGCCGGAGTCATGTGACCCACACAATGGCTGAGCACCTACTCCAGGCTTCCCGGCAACGCCAAGTGAAAGTCATGACGGCCGCCGCGGGTTCGGCGGGCCAAGCCGCGGTGCCCCTGCTGCTGTGCGCGCTGCTGGCGCCCGGCAGCGCGTACGTGCTCGACGACTCCGACGGGCTGGGCCGGGAGTTCGACGGCATCGGAGCTATCAGCGGCGGCGGGGTGAGCAGCGGGGGGTGGGACGCACGGGTGGCGTCAGGGCACAGCTCCGTCTCGCCCCACAAGCCCCCGCGGCGTAGCCCAGCGTTTCGACGCTGTCCCGTCGCGGCCCGGCTGCCGGCGGGCGCCCTTCGCCTGGCTGTCCGGACC